CATCGACTTCCTACAGGCATTCGACATGCTCTGGAACCAAGGGATCATATATAAATTATACAAATTACATTGTCCTGATGAATATTTATTTTGGCTAATAAACTATTTTACTAATAGGTCATTAATTATCGATTATGATGGATGTCATTCGGCAAAAATTAACATTAAGCGTGGCGCACCACAAGGCAGCGTGTTGGGACCAATTATGTACATTATAGCTCATTATGATCTCCCGCAAATCTTCGAAAGACCAGAAAACGTACATGTGTACGTTGACGACCTAGCTATTGCGTATGTTCCATCGTTGTATCTAAGTCGTCGAAAGCAAATTGAAGATATTGAGCGGATAATGAATCGTGATTTAGTTAAATTACTACAGTATTCAATTAAATGGCATCAGCCAGTTAACGTCAATAAAACTGAATATGTCACATATCATCGAGCAGTACAAAGCCCGAAATTAACAATATTATATAATGGAATACCAATAATTAAGCAATCAAGTTATAAATACCTGGGTGTTCGACTCGATGCTAAACTATCTTTTCATCGGCTACTCGATGATCAATTTATCAAGCTTCGACGTTCTTATGGAATAATGAAATACATTCATCAACAATTTCCATCATTTTTCTCACTGAAAAATAAATTTTTTGGCACATATACCTGGCCTCATCTCTATATATTATCAACTCTGTATTGCTTGATGTCAAACACTGTAAAAGATCGAGTCAATGGATTCTATAGACGTTGTCTTAGACTCATCTTTTGTCTTTACCAATGCTCGACCGTTGATCTTCATGAAACGTTTGGTCTCCCCACACTAACATCAAGATTTAAGAAATGCTTGATAAAGAGAGTTCGAAATATCCAACTCCATGAACCTGAACTGATTTCTTGCTATATTTCAAGAAAAACAGTTGTGAACATAATGGCAATCCATTACTTGGAGAAAGAATGTATTCCTTGGCTACAGCAAGGAAGACCCAACAATAAAATTGTATCAATGTACAATAATGAAGAAAATATGAACACATTCTTCGATAAACTACTAAAGTTTATTTTCGATTAATCATGATCAATTAATCAATTAATCAATTAATCAATTAATCAATTAATCAATTAATTAATTCAAATGGCGTGCGTTCTTTCCTCTGGCTCTACGTCAATTATCAATTCGCTATGGCTCTTATAAACCATATTGCTAAATCATTGTCCATCAACCTCTGATATTGTATTTTTCTTTTTCATCTCGTGACCCACTTCTAGACTAATTTCCCTCTTTTACGTATTCAGTTCAATGACAACTATTGTAACTTTTGGAGTGGTCAGGACTCAGTGAGTCAATCCACTTTATATAAGCAGCTCAAATAAAAAAAAAAAAAAAAAAAAATGTGGATGTTTATTCCATATTGGTTTAATAATTAATTTTATTAAATTTGCATTTGACACATATTCAACTAATAAACGAAGAAGTGCTTTATTTGCTGTTGTACCTTAAATATAAAATATGAAGAAATAAATAAATAAGAAATTTAACGTTTTCTTTACCAAGTTTTTGAAATTGTTCATTTTGTATAAAATCCAGATATTTTTCTAGAAATATTTCATCCGGTATCTTTCGTGAAATACTTAACATAGCATCACTAATATATTTTGCATTTGATGCGTTTAGTTTCGTTGTTAAAAACTCCAAATGTTTAATTAATGATTGTGGCGTTAAATCAAATGTAGATGGTAAACATATAAGGATATCATCAAGTGGTTCAGTAGGAGCACCACGATTGCGAACCGTTTTCTTTGTGGAATTACCAACTGGTAATGGTGAATCCTGTTTTGTATAGATCCATTCGAGAGTTATATTGTATGTATGTGTTAAACGACGAAGAATACGAAATGTTGCTAATTTCACATGATTGCTAATTTCTTTATCCTAAAGAAAAAACAAAATTTCAAAATTTTTCAATATTTTTGTAGAAAATGTTTTACTTGAATATGATCATTTAAAATAATTTTTGCAATATGTTCTTGTTGTTTTCCAGTTAATAAATGAGATAAAGTCCATAAAGTATCAAAATGTAAACCAGGTAATTTCAATTGTTTTGGTATAGGTTTTACTATTAGTCCTTGTTTCGTTTGTTGTTTTAATATTTTTTCGGCTGTAACACATTTATCATCTTGAATTAATTGATCTATGAGTTGTCGATGTTGTTGTGAACGAACAGCAATTTAATTAACATCATAATTAATAAAAAATATTTGATCAAGTTTATTAATTAAATAATTAATACGTTCAAATCGAGTTGATCGATTTTTAATATAATATGAAATTAATGTTGCATTTATACCAAGTGGAAATACTGATTGAAGTGTTGGTGATGAAGGTAGAGTTTTTGTAAAAAATCTATTAATGAACATATCAATTTGTGGTAAACGCCATGCTTTATCTAAATATTCTTTTAATGATATATTTAATTCAGTTATCATACATTTGGAAATTAGTTGTGGATATACATCTGCGACAAGAATATCTGCAATTATATTACGAGTTTTAGGATAGAATTCTGATATTGATGAACCATTAATTGTAAGACTATTTGGATATGAATAACATCTAAATTGAAAATAAAAAAAGAAATAGAATAATATTATAACTTTTAAAAACTTTCTCAAATTTTTTTAAAGACTGAAATAGTTTGTCATAATCATAGAATTATATGTACAGACTAAGTATTCATTCGTCGTAACCTTGCCAGTTTTCAGAAGAGAAAGAGTAAGGATCTTTTTTGTTGGAAGATAAGATATATAGTAGAAGATATAATGACTACAAGTCAATAAATATAACGAAATCAATGTTTCTCAATAGATAAAATACAAAATTTTCTTTAATTATTTTACTTTTTAATAATTGATGTGGCAAATCCTAGAATTCGTTTTCTTCGTGTTTTATTTCGATAATGTTCAGCTCGTTGAAGTAATAATATTCCATATCCAATAATTATTTCTAAAGTTCTTACTGATTGTTCTAAATGATTTAATGCAAGGTCAATTATATTTTCAATTGATTCGAAATTGTTTGGTAACATTTCTAATTGAAATTTATCATTAGCTAATTTTACTTTTCTTAAAAATTCTTCAATAATTAAAAGGGCTTCATTAGTCAATCTTTTTTCAATCCATTGAAGAACTTTTTTAACAGATTCACCATTTGTTAAAACAGCACATTGAAAAAATAATGGATAATTGTCATATCGTCGATTAATATCAGAACTTGTTTGTTTAAATAATGATAAAAATTCATTAAATATTTCTTCTGTCATTGTTTGATAACAAATTAACGAAAAACGTTCTTTTGCTTCAACAATTCCTTTTTTTTCTAATTGAGAAATTAAATTAATTGAAAGTGGAGTTGTTAATTCTGGATATAATTCTAATAATTTTAATATAGATTCATCTCCTTCTTTTTTTAATCGTTCGATAAATATATCGTTTCCAATATGTTTATTAATAACAATATCAATAAACCATTTTCGTTCTTTTTTAATATTATTAAGATTAGATTTTAATTTGTCATTATTTAACATATATACTAGAGTACGACTTATATCATATGATGACCAATTACATTTATCATATAAAACAGAAAATAATTCAACATTATTTTTGATTGAAAATGAACGAGGAAGTGAAAATGATCCAAGTTCATATCCATCATTTGACCAAGGCGACTGATATTTAATTGCACCTAAATAACAAATTAAAATTAAAAACTATGATAAATGAATAAAAACCTGATTGACTTGAAGCAACAATTGTAATCAGCTCAATCATTTCAGTTGGTGCTTTTTTAAAAAAATATTCTTGTTTTGATCGAATTATAGTTGGTAAAAATCTCTCTTGTTTTTCTAATTGATTTAGATATTCAATTATTAAACGAATTAATTCTTTTGGGTATTTTTTAACAATAGCTTCGGATAATGTATAATTATCTCGAAAACAGCTTAGGAATTTTTCATGATTTGATTTTTTCTCTTTTAAATCATTTCGAATTAAATCAATAATAACTCGAGGTTGATAACGAATTAATGCTGATGAACATTCAATTTGTTCAAGACGTTTCAATGACCATCGAGATAAAAGATCAAATATTTGTTCTTTTGTACAAAATGGTAATAAATGTGCATCAATATTATATTGTGAATGATGATTTGTTTGAGTTAAATGAGAAGCAAGTGAATAGAAGAATGTTGAAGATTTTTTTAAATATTTATGTCGATGTAAATCTTGTAAAATTCGATATTTAAAACTAAATTAGAAAATAATAATAAAATATTTTCATTGAAAAAAATAAGACTTACTATCGAGGCATATTTTTGTCATTGAGATTTTGAATAATAAAATTAAAAATTTGTTTTTCATCTTTTTCAAGTTGAATCCAATTTTGTGCAGCAATTGTTCGTTGTTTTATGGGTAATGAATCAATTTGAATTATTTCTAATAAATTCTTTTGATTTTTAGTTGATGTTGATAAAAATACAAACATTTGTAAATCATCATATGATGATAATAAAGATTCTTTTAAATATTTTTCAATTTCACTTTTATTTTCTAATGATAAAACATATTTAAGACGATCTTGAAATGTTCCATCTTGTTTTAATAATTCATATTTAGCGATTGAAGACATTTTTTCGTCCAAATAATAAATATCTACAAGTAAAATATGTTCTTTTATATATAAAAGAAAAAACCCAGCAAAGCATGCGCTACGTAATAATTTTCTGTTTATGGTGAAATTTTTAATGATTTTCTACTTATGGCGAGATTTCATGAAAGAGAATAACATAGATAGTATCAAAGAATCGATTTTGTTTCTACTTTCGTAAATGGTTATGATATAAAATACATTTTTTATTTATTAACAATCGTCTGTAAAATTCGATTTTTCAGTACAGACATACTGTCTTTCGAAAGTAATGTTATTAATGGGCGTTTCTTATATGATGAGAAATAACCTATAATAAATATTTCATCATTAAGGTGAAATTTTGTATTGGCATAATGATTATTCATTACGAAAAAAACATAAAATAGACGCATTAATATTTTTAAATAAACAACGTAATTACTGTTACTGTTAGTTATTTATCATCCAAATCGAGTTTTCTTTCATTGATGTTTTTGGATATTGATAATAGGTTTCAATGGTAAATCGACAAACAAACAGTATAAGGTGAGAAAAAAGAGGTCGCAGTTATATCATATACTGATACTAAAAAACATAAATCAAGTTGATATTTGAAGAAAATATGAGAGCATTAAAACAATTCTCATGAAAAAAACCCTTGCAAGAAGAGAAATGCAGTATGATCGTGAAATAAATGTATTGTAAAGCTGTTCGAAGATAACAAAAAAATCTTATATTCAATCTAATCTTCTTAGGAATTACAAAAATATCAATAAAACAATTTTTTTGTCAGATCATAAATCAATAGTCAATGAATCTTAATACAGTTTTGAATATTATTAATCACAATTATATGGGATAAACGATTTAAATGAATTGAAATCTAACAAAAACATGTATAAGATGTTCCATCTCAAACTTCAATCGAAACTATGATTCAGGTCATTTTAAAATAGCTAGTACATATAGACATGTACGTTATGCTACTTTATGTTTTCCTTACTTTATTAACGTTTACATATTTGATTCCATTTAGAGAATTGTATATGAAAGTCTAAACTTGAAATATGTTCACTGCATTTTCATATCTATTTTGACAATCATCAGACTGTAATATCCACATCATATAGTAGTTATTTGTATGAGATATCGAAGCACGTTTATTGAACAAATTTTCTTTCGAATATATAATAACTATATAACCTCGATTTTCATATAAAACTGCATATCAAGTCATCAAAGTATTATTGTATAATACGAATAGGCACATTGTCTTTATCTGATATCATGCTTAGTAATTATTTTTTTCTATATCATTACGATTTACAATCTGTATACATATATATATTTTTTGTTTTCTATGAGTGTATACTTTATGTGTTATAAACATAATTAAATGAGAAATAAAAGTTCAGTCATTAGATTTTTGTAGTCTTCATCTATTCTGTAATGCAGACAGTTGATGGTATATAGCATATGCTCAACAGATATTGAATCTGGCAATCATTGAGTCATGATTCAAAGAATGTTTCTTTGACATTTTCACATTACAATGGCAGATTTAGGTCAATCAAAGTATGAATCTAGAAAAATGATTACGAATAAAACGAAAATTGTAGTAGAAATCACATTTAATATACCTCAACTTATCGAAAAATTAATTTCTTGTTTTCAAGTTTTTGATTTTTTTATTTTCTAAGAATATATATCTATTAATTAATAATTATACATAGCCAAAACCTACGAAAAACTTGGTCAAATATATCTTACAACAATTCTCTGTTTGCAATAACATTGACAAAAGGTAAAGTGAAGAATAAAAAAAGAATACTCCGCGGCGGGGAATCGAACCCCGGTTTCCCGCGTGACAGGCGGGGATACTAACCACTATACTACCGCGGACATACATCATCCTTGAAAACCAACATCTTCAATTGAACTGATAACTTTATTGGAAATGACTTAACATATATCGATAATATTTAAGGATGAGAGTGCTCGTAGATGTGGATGCAAGAGTGAGTATTGTCATCATCTCATCCATGCATACCTATACCTGCCCTTCTCAGTCTATGATTTTCTTTTCCAGTTGTATAAATTTTACAGTGAATCTTCATCTTTTCTAAAACATATTTCTAAGCTTAGAACTTTTCTGATGGAAAACTATCAGCACTAATCAAAAGATATTCTGTGCAACATGTTCTACTGCATACTTTCATTTTAAAGGTGAATTCTCAAGTATGTATTTCATTGAAGAAAAATTTATTATTTAAAACGCGCAAAGACTTTGATCTACCAATCATATGTTTGACTAAAAATATGCATCAATAGGACTGCTAAAAGTGTGCATAATGTTCATACATCTAATTACACTTTTTTTTAACACCGATGAATAATAGAATGAGAAAAAAAAGTAAAAAAGAATACTCCGCGGCGGGGAATCGAACCCCGGTTTCCCGCGTGACAGGCGGGGATACTAACCACTATACTACCGCGGACAATGACCATTTTTGAACACCAACATCTTCACTTAAACTGATACTTTATTGGCAATAATTGTGAATGATGTCAGTACATAGTGTTAAAAGTTTAGTTCCTTGCTTTTTCCTAGAGGACTAAATTAAAGTACAGTGTAAATCCTCAAAGGCTCTTCAAGGACGACGCAGTGGGGTGGGTGTGGTGTATGTGTAAAAACTGTATTCTCTTAGTGCTATGTTCACACCCACACCCACACCCTACATAATGTCATTTGATATAGAAAGATACAAAGAAAATTTGTTAGATAGTTACTAACATTGAATATTAGCGGTTTATTTAGTTTCGTTCAAGTAAAGGACAATGAGTAAGTTCAAACAGATAATCAATTGCTTGTTTATCCTTATTTATGTAAGATATGGAACGAACTTTTCACAGACTCTTATTTTTATGCAATATAGAAAAGTACACCAATTCATTCGATTAATAATTCTACTGTAGAAGTAATAATCCTGTTAAATCTTTTTGCTTAATATGTATTTGATGACACACATGCAGAAACAATGGTATTTATAAGAAGTAGAAAAAAATGAATTACATTCATAGATAGGTTTCATTGAAAGATAACAGTGAATGATATAACCAACAAACATGTAATAGTAATTAATAGAAATAAGCAGGTGATAATAACATATGCAAAAATATTATTACAAACCATCAAAGAGTTAAATTCAGCCAACAATTATCTTGAAGTCTTGTTCTTTATGTTCTACCTTGAAAGGCAATAACTGAAATACTCGTTCGAATTGACTTAGTATAGTTTCATTATCAAAATATATGTCATATCCAACATTGATACCAGCAGTTGCAGAAGTTTCCATGTAATTAATACCATTATTGGTTAATAAATTCTAATTCGGATAGAGAAAAAAAGCGTCCAGGTTAATGACAGATGAGAAAATCTGAGATCATGTGACTTCGGCTTCATCACTTACCGAAAAATGAAGCATCCTCATTTCTAATCCATTGTTTGTGGGATACATTACCGCTTCTAAATGTTGATTCATCGTGAAAGATCAGAATACATGGTTTCTGAGTTAGTATTTGCTAAGTAGCCATGGCACTGTCGTTGATTGAATACTAGTTATCTTTTCGTTCAAAGAAATACGAAATAAGTTTTTATCTATGAACACTAACATCGGTCTTTCGTGTCCTTCAGAATAGGGTCATTGATTGCTTTTGTAAATTCTGTACCGCATCTTCTTAATTCGAGGCTTCAGTTCACTTCTGAACGTATCAATACATCATTAACTTCCATTTTTTGCATAATTTCATACTATTTTTTCATCGATATACTTTGCTAAACTTGATAGAGTAAAATCAACCGATTTTCGAGTACATACATCAGCAACAAAGTATTTTGCTTCTACTTCTAGTTCAGGATAAATGTCGTAGAAAGAATCAGTATTCTTCCTGCCACGACTATCGTTTATGAATTCTTCGAAATCTCCAGATAAAACTATTTTCGCCCATTTATGAACTGTTTCACATGAATTCGTGGCAGTCTGTTGAAAAATGTTATCAATAATTCGCTCTTATTGTTCTAAACAACGCCGAATCATATATAGCAATGCAATAAAGCTTTCTTAATCCACAATCATTTTTTGAAAGGCCAAAAAGATCTACAATCATAAAAAAATTTAGTTTTCCAAGAAAATCATTTTCATTGTTAAAAATTTCACCTATGTTTTCGAACAGCTTTAGATTCATCTTACCATCAAAAGTACCATATGGAAATTCCTCTTTCTGATGACGAACTCGTTTTTCTATTCCAACGGGCTGATATAGCACATTAAGACAGTGTTGTTTGAGAGTTCTTGCCTGTTTTGGTATATCAATAACACCCCAGAGTATAAAATTCACGTATGCAGGAAAATGAAATTAGAATTTTTTTGTTCGCTTAATGCTAGTATCTGTTTGCAGATCACAGACAGATTACTGAGTAACGATCAGTCTCGTATATTGCTTGCTTTTCTATCGACTCCGGAGACAAACAAATAAATTTTTACTGAAATGTGGTAGTTATCACATGAAACCTGCATTTTTTCAGCAACGCTACGAACTCGAAACTTGAGCATACGTCACTTTTCTCTCATTCATTTAATCGCTCGAATGGTTAAAAAAATATTATTTTAGCTCTTACAGAAACAAAGACGATACATTTTCAATAAAAGGCCCTTGATAAAGTCTAACGTCGATATTGAAAATCCAGCCAAATATCATACGATTGATGAAATTTTATCAAACTCATTTGAATACCACAATTTTATGTGCTCGATTTAGACAGGAAACATTTACTGAAAAGAGTCTAAGTGGAGATTGATTAATTGTGGAATTTTTAATAAAAAAGCACTTTTTTGGGTTTTCTAGAAATCTTTATATTTTGCATTTTTCTGAGCTCGGGTAGCGACTATAAACTTGAAAAACATATATTGCAAACAAGCACGAAAAGTTCTATCAACTGATGTATAATTCATTTAGATTTGTTTTTTATTCGAATTTTGCATTATGCGCACCTTACGTAACTCTCGCTAACTCATATCCATACTCAGTACACTAATAAATGATTCAAATCTACCACGGATATCAATTCCCAACCTCCGATTACCTTTAATAAAGTTTTATGAAAAAAGATCTCTTTTATTTTCACATTATGCTTGAATCAATTAGTGAAGTGCGGACACACAAGCAAACAATTGATTACTGATAGATTCTTGTTTACTAGAAAGACAATATAGAAGTCTGTTTTTTTCGTGTAATAAATTCATTACACAACAAGAAAAAAAAGAATACTCCGCGGCGGGGAATCGAACCCCGGTTTCCCGCGTGACAGGCGGGGATACTAACCACTATACTACCGCGGACATACATCATCTTTGAAAACCAACATCTTCAACTTAATCTCGAGTTCTTTTAGAAATCATCACTTTATCGTATTTCTCGAAGATGATTCTGACACTCTTCTCTATCAATATCAACTTCTTCAGATGCACTTAATTGTTGAATAAAAATATCGAAGGTCTACTGTTTATTTCATTTGATAGGTATGTTAAAATTATTTTAAAATAATTCTGAGATAAATTTTCTCGAAGGATTTGTAATATATTTTGAATATCAATAATGCTGTTAATAGAGGAGACCATGTGTTATCCGTTTGCAGAATAATCGGAGTAAATGAATTAAAAGACAGCTTTTTTTATATTGTGGATAACATTTTTGTTTTAATTAAGTTCTTCTTTACATGATATAGTTTTATAATAATACCAGTAGAGTTAATAGTATTTATCGAATTGTAAACGATTTTCATGTATATGTTTTCAAAAAGTAAACCTGATACTAGTTTGATTTGTGCATGAAGTTGTATTCGATTGCATATACTGAATTTATGCAAATTCGTATGTTATTCTGAGATTATTTCGCTATTAATTATTATTTTAGAGTATTTAAAAAAAAGAATTAATGACCAAGAAATAATGGACCGTTGCTCAGTAATTCGATCAAGATGCAAATGAGATATACCTACTGAAGGCTTGATTTTAATTACATTTCTAAAATAAATTGTATACTCCCTATAAGAAATGTACCATAATGAATACCTTATATGGTGCAGTTTTATATTTTGTATTATCTATTTGAGAACATACTTTCATTCAATAATAGTATAGTACTGTCTTTAATCTATTCACACAGAGTGATCAAATGAGTTATTTCATATGATCATCTATGCCTCTGGTGTTTTGACAAAATTAATTTGATATAAATAACTAGTTTATCTCAATTTTTTGCAACGATTATCAGCACCTGAATGATAGATCGAAAGACAAATAATATATAATGATTGCATATGTTGGGCTTATTTAACTTAATGTGTTATGAAACATTTCTTAGCAAAATGTAATAATTTATTCATGTATTAGTTCTGTTGTCTACTGCTGATTATTTTTCATACAGTTATTCAATATCTATGCGTTATATCAGTTTACAATAGTTTATATTTGTTTCAGTAATAAACTCAATCGTATTCGGTATGTTCTCAGCAGCATGAAACAGAATGAAAAAAATATTTCATATTTTACCGTAATTACTCAATGTCAAAAAATATAACTTTATATAAGTATCTAGTAATTTATATAAAAATGTAGTAGTCGTCAGGTCCGAAGTGTTTGAAAGTGGTTTAATGGTTTACTGCCTCCGAACTGTTCGACTTAAGAAAAGACTGTATTGGTCAGTTTTGAAAAATAAACTGATTTCAGTCTTGTATCTACGTCACTACTAGCACGACATATGACCTATGATTATTTTCTCTTTTTACTTTTTTTTATACCGTTAGAAAAAAATTCATATATATATTTTATGCTTGACTATTTACATTGATCTTTTAGTATATTTTCTTGTTTGCAATATATAAATAAAAAAGGAAGTATAAAAAACATTTTTCTACAATTTATTAATTATTTTTAAATATATAATTTAAGCATTCGGTGCTAATGATCGATCTCCATTTAAATCAAGTTTTGCAGGAGAATTTTCACCTTTACGATTTTCTTCTCTAAGTAAATCATAAAAAGACAATAATTCTTATCTATACATACAGTTCCAATTTGTTCCATTTTTATCAATATCTAAATATTGATTTCATCTTCTTGTACTTACCATACATATTAAATGCCATATTAATAACTTATTTAATGAGAGAGACAACAAATTCTAATCATCATATGCAATTTATACATTAAACAGATTACATTTGCATCGTAATAGTACTTCGTACAACAATTTAAATAAGATAATACGAATATATCGTAGGGTAAAGAAAAGTACGAAAATTGTATGATGAATTATTTAATAATCATACTTTTGCGTTAACTGTTGATAATTCATTCATATCTTCAATAAGTATACAGAATATCAAAGAATAAAAAAGGGTAACGAGAAATGTCTTTGATACTTAAAATTTGAATGATAAACTAGTCTTGATTGTACCGTATAATCATACATTTAATTCTTCAAAGACTATACAGAACTAATAAAGAAACGATGAACAATAAATATCTGATAATTAATTTAAATTATTTCTATCTAATAAAATTATTGCAGAATGAAACAAAAAAAGAATACTCCGCGGCGGGGAATCGAACCCCGGTTTCCCGCGTGACAGGCGGGGATACTCACCACTATACTACCGCGGACATAAATCATCTTTAAAAATCAATATTTTCAATTTAATCTCTAATTCGTATGGAAATATTCTTATTAAAATATCGAATTCTGATTCTGTAATCATATTAAGTAATTAATCAATTTGTAGCTATACTTTCCATTTCTTTGCAACAGTTAATAACTAAACAATAAATTCAAAATAACTAAAAACTTCTTTATTGTTTCTATAAAAAAATCAAGGAAACTTAATCCATCAATAATATTCTTGAAAAAATTTTTTCAAGAAAATTATTCTCAAGATTATTAACTATAAACTTCTAGGAAATAACAAAAAAATAAAGTTTTCTTGTTTGAATAAACCAATTTGTTTAAGACATATTTTCATCAGAAGGATGATCGGAAACACTCATGTCATCATTATCATCTGCAATATCTCCATCTTCTTTCCAAGGTACAGTATATTCCATTGCTTGTTGTCGTAAATATAAATCATCACTTTTTCGTATTTCTCGAAGAAGATTTTGACATTTTTCTCTATCAACACCGTTATCATTAAATACATGATTTTTAAGAAAATCAAAAACAAATAATGTTCGATTTTTTTCTTTAATAAACCATTGAGCTACTTCAAGTTTTTCATCACCACTTAATTGTTGAATAAAAAAAGATGAATGACTATTATTGATTTCACTTGATATGTCTGTTAATATTCGTTCAAAATAATTTTTAGGTAAATTTTCTTGAAACATTTGCAATACATCTTCAAGTTCTTCTTTATTTTGAGTTGTTTTTATCAATAATTTTGCTAATTGAGGAGACAATGTCTTATCAAATTGAAGAATAATTGGAGCAAGTGAACGAAAAGAAATTTTTTTTTCATTATCAAAATCATTTATTTTAGAATTAAGAATTGTTAAAAGACTTTGAATACGATGATAAACTGGTAAATCATGTTGATTATCAATAGCATTTTCTTTCGAATCAATTTCTTCTCGACGTGACATCATTTTTTTAATTATATCATAAACCATATTTGATGATAATCTATGTAATAAAAATAGAAATTATTTTATTCTATAATAATTTATTTTACATACGTTTTTGGTTGTTTATAAACTGAAAGAATTTTTTCAAAAGCATTTGACCATAAACTACTTCCATCTTTATCAAATTGTATACATATTTCTTGAGCTTTTTCATATAATTTCTTCATATCACAATGTTCATGATCAATATTAGACCAAGCCCATGAACGTGCTTTTAATGATGTTGGATGATCTAAGACTTTAAATTGTATTCGATTAATAAATGTTTCAAAGACATTTTCAGATGAATGTTTTAGTTTTGTTAATGGCCAAGAAGGAGAAGATTTTCCTGGCTGATCAGCAAATAAATTTTGTACAACAGGAAGATAATCATCGTCTGCTGCTTCTTCGAGAATTTCCCAAATAATATTTTCATCTTCATTTGAAGATGTTTTACCAATAAAATGAAGTAAAGTTAAGATAAGACATGCACGAACATCTTGATGTGGATGTTTATTCCATATTGGTTTAATAATTAATTTTATTAAGTTTGTATTTGATACATATTCAACTAATAAACGAAGTAGTGCTTTATTTGCTGTTGTACCTTAAAATAAAATATAGATAAATAAATAATAAGTTTAACGTTTTCTTTACCAAGTTTTTGAAATTGTTCACTTTGTATAAAATCCAGATATTTTTCTAGAAATATTTCATCCGGTATTTTTCTTGAAATACTTAACAAAGCATCACTAATATATTTTGCATTTGATGCATTTAATTTTGTTGTTAAAAACTCCAAATGTTTAATTAATGATTGTAGAGTTAAATCAAATGTAGATGGTAAACATATGATAATATCGTTAAGTGGTTCCGTAGCAGCACCTCGATTACGAGAACTTTTCTTCTCTGTAGAACTGTCAATTGGTAATGGTGAATCTTGTTTTTTATAGATCCATTCGAGAGTTATATTATATGTATGTGTTAGACGACGAAGAATACGAAATGATACTAATTTTTGTAAATTACTTACTTCTTTATCCTAAAGAAAAAACAAAATTTTAAATTTTTCAATATTTTTGTAGACAATTTTTTACTTGAAGATAATCATTTAGAATAATATTTGTAATATGTTCTTGTTGTTTTCCAGTTAATAAATGAGATAAGCTCGATAAAGTATCAGTATTTAAACCAGGTTCCTTCATATTTTTCTTAGGTGAAGTTAAAATTGTTGAAAATTTACTTTGTTCATTTGATAATTTATCAAAAGTAAAACATTTCTCATCTTGAATTAATTGATCTATGAGTTGTCGATGTTGTTGTGAACGTATCGCAATTTGTTGAACATCTGTATTAATAAAAAATAATTTATCCAGTTTATTAATTAAATAATTAACACGTTGAAATCGAGTTGAACGATTTTTGAGATAAAATGAAATTAATGTCGAATGTGAATCAATACTAAATGATGATTGAAGTTTTGTTGATGAAGGAAGAAATTCAGTAAAAAATTTATCAATAAATGAATCAATTTCTGGTAAACGCCAAGCTTCGTCAATAGCTGAATTTAATACACTAACTAATTCGGTCAACATAGATTTTGAAATCAATTTTGGAAAGATATCTGAGATAAGAATATTTGCCAATATATGACGTGTTTCTGGATATGTTTTAGATATCGATGCAGTAAATATTCTATAAACATCATTTTTCGAAGAACATCTAAATTGAAATTAAAAATTGTAAATTTTGTATTATGAATTAATAATCTTACTCTTTAAGAATTTTCGTAGCAAATGTTTGAATTTTTTCTTTTTGTTCTTTATTTGAAGAATGTTCAACAAGTTGAAGTAAAAATATTTGATAATTAATGATAAGTCGTAAAGTATTTTCTGATTGTTGTAAATGATTTAATGCAATATTAATTATATTTTCAATTGATTCAAAATTATTTGGTAACATTTCCAATGGAAATTTATTTTTAACTGATTTAAGTTGTTCTAAGAAAAGTTCAATAACAATAAGTTGTTCATTAGTAAATCTTTTCTCAATCCATTGAAGAACTTTTTTAACAGATTCACCATTTGTTGAAACAGCACATTGAAAAAATAATGGATAATTTACTTGACGTTGATTTACATCAGAACTTGTTTGTTTAAATAATGATAAAAATTCATTAAATATCTCTTCTGTCATTGTTTGATAACGAATTAATGATAAACGGTCTCCAGCTTCAACAATTCCTTTTTTTTCTAATTGTGATATTAAATTAATTGAAAGTGGAGTTGTTAATTCTGGATATAATTCTAATAGTTGAAGAGTACTTCTATCTCCTTCTTTTAATAATTTTTTAAGAAATAATTCTTTTCCAATATGTTCATTTATAACAGTATCAAATAACCATTTTCGTTGTTTTTTAATTCCACCAATACTTATGTTAGAATTTCCTTCTTCTAACATATATTGAACAAGACGAATTGTATGATTTGATGACCATTTACATTTATCATACAATGTAGAGAATAATTCAACATTATTTTTAATTGAAAATGAACGAGGAAGTGAAAATGATCCAAGTTCATATCCATCATTTGACCAAGTTGATTGATATTTAATTACACCTAAATAACAAATTAAAATTAAAAACTAAGATAAATAAATAAATATAAACCTGGTTGATTTGAAGCAACAATTGCCATTAATTCAATCATTTCAGTTGGTGCTTTTTTAAAAAAATATTCTTGTTTGGATTGAATTATAGTTGGTAAAAATCGTTCATGTTTTTCTAATTGATTTAGATATTCAATTGTTAAGCGAACCAATTCTTTTGGTTGTTTTTCAACAATTGCTTCAAATAATTTTTCGTGATCTCGAAAATAACTTCGAAATTTTTCATGATTTGATTTTTTCTCTTTTAGATCATTTCGAATTAAATCAATAATAACACGAGGTTGATAACGAATTAATGCTGATGAACAATCAATTTGTTCAAGATGTTTCAATGACCATCGAGATAAAAGATCAAATATTTGTTCTTTTGTACAAAATGGTAATAAATGTGCATCGATATTATATTGTGAATGATGATTTGTTTGAGTTAAATGAGAAGCAAGTGAATAGAAAAATGTTGAAGATTTTTTTAAATATTTATGTCGATGTAAATCTTGTAAAAGTCGATATTTAAAACTAAATTAGAAAATAATAATAAAATATTTTTATTGAAAAAAAGTAAGATTTACTATCGAGGCATATTTTTCTCATTGAGATTTTGAATAATAAAATTAAAAATTTGTTTTTCATCTTTTTCAAGTTGAATCCAATTTTGTGCAGCAATTGTTCGTTGTTTTATTGGTAATGAATCAATTTGAATTATTTCTAATAAATTCTTTTGATTTTTAGTTGATGTTGATAAAAATACAAACATTTGTAAATCATCATATGATGATAATAAAGATTCTTTTAAATATTTTTCAATTTCACTTTTATTTTCTAATGATAAAACATATTTCAGACGATCTTGAAATGTTCCATCTTGTTTTAATAATTCATATTTAGCGATTGAAGACATTTGTTTTATTCTAAATAATAAATATCTACAAGTAAAATATGTTCTTTTATATATTAAAGAAAAATAAAGTTGTTGTTTTTTTCGTGATGAAATCCGCTGGAGTGCAATAAATATTTCTATAGTCGAGGTATTCGTTTTATTCTTTTCGTCATAAAGTAATCACGATGAATAAGATTTATTTTTCTGTTCTTTCTCAATCATTTGTAATAACGAACAAATTTCGCAAAGATATAATCGTAGGAAAATCTATATTTATTTAACAGAATTATATTATCATATGTAGAAAAATCTTCTAATGACACAAGAATTATTCACGAGCAAAACCCCAATATAGGAAATGTAATTTCCTAATAAATTCAATATATCGAACAAGTACAAATTCTCATCATCAATTCATTTTTATTTTATTAAATCTAACTCTCACTAAACAATAATCTAATAAAATAATATTTATTTAAAAAAATAATTTATTAAGGTGTCCCCGTATTTCAATGGCTGAGAGATAAACAAAATGAAACGTGTAAAAAGAGGGCGCAGTTATATTAGAACTATTATATTCCAAAGAATACAAAGTATATTGATAAGAGATATCTTTTCTGCTATTCAAATGATGAATTATGTAATATTGTAATATATTCTTGCAAGTTTTAAAATTGATGAATTTTATTTATTTAAACCAAAATAATATAACATATATCGCAATTGATCTATACAACTTTTGAAGTGTTTATATCTTATCTTATTGAAAAATAGACTTTATATTAATTAATACATAATTAACCAATATTATCTTTTTTCTATTAAAATACATGAGTAAATATTAATCGAATAGTTTTCAAAAATAATGATATTTAGAACGACGGGAAAAGAAAATCTTTATGTGGTCATTGACAAATTTAAGTATTACATTTGCAAAATTCTAATGTATTCGATTGAATAAATAAACTGGAATTTTGATTTGAAATTGAATTTTATTTGAAAAAAAAGATTGTTAATAATATAAAGTAGTGTCATCTATAAAGAGAAAAAAAAGATTGATAAAATAGTCCAATAAAAATGTTTAGTGTGCCTCTATTCATTGTTATATTTTCTTCATATCTTATCATAAACACGTTACCATTCCTCCTGAACTTGGTCATATTTCGATCTTAAAATAAATTGAAAAATGGGTTTAAGTGAAAATGATGTTGCTAAACAGGTTTGTTATTTATTTTTTTGTTGAAAACTAAATCTATTTGTAAATATAATAACAGATTCAACAAATGATATCATTTATAAAACAAGAAGCAGCTGAAAAAGTTGAAGAAATCGAAGCAAAAGCTGAAGAAGAATTTAATATTGAAAAAAGTCGTTTGGTTTCTCAACAACGTATTAAAATAATTGAATATTATGATAAAAAAGAAAAACAAATTGAATTACAAAGAAAAATTCAACATTCAAATTTAGCAAATGCAAGTCGTTTAGCAATTCTTAAAGCACGAGATGATTATGTTCAAACATTAAAAGATGAAGCGCGAAAACAATTAACTATTTTAACACAAGATCAATCAAAATATACAACAATTCTTGCTAATCTTATTGCACAAGGTCTTTTTTTACTTATGGAAAAAGATGTTACTATAAGATGTCGACGTAATGATACAAATCTTGTTAAACAACTTATTCCTGATGCAATGGATCGTTATAAAAAAGAATTAAAACAAAAAGATATTAAAATTACAATTGATGAGAAGAATTTTTTACCTGACGAATCGTTTGTATTTTCAAAAGAAGATTATTCAAAAAAAATTAAAATTTAATTTTTTGTTTAGAGCTGGTGGTATTGAACTTTATGCAATGGGAGGAAAAATTAAAGTATCGAATACAATTGAAGCTCGACTTTCAATGATTTTTAATCAAATTCTTCCTGAAATACGAGAAAAATTATTTGGTGTTAATCAAAATAGAAAATATCATGATTAATTTATTTTATTTGATTTTATTTTTCCATAAACATTCCGAGATAGACAAAACAAGTGCAATTTTTTTAACCTTTGTCATTTAATCTATATTTTTTTTCTTTTCTCTTTTCTCTTTAGCCGATTCCGAATAAATAAAGTTCTATGTCAATGTGTATGTCACCCATGTCTAGTTAGAAAAATTTATTTTATTATATTAAATTCAAGGAATCATCGATTGGACAAAAAATAACTTAGAGGAGAATTTTAAGATACAAAAATTTTTTTTCAATACACTTTTAACAATGCTAATTTCAAATATGACCATGAGAAATACCCTTAGGTCTTTTTATAAGGTGTAGGTGAAAAATTTATTTTATTGCTATATCGATGTTTTGATAAATTGAAATGATAAAGTATGTTGATTTATCTATGTCGAAAGGGACTTAAGCTTTTTTAAATGTTAAAGCGAAGTGTATGTAGAAAGTGTATTTATCGATAAAAGTTATTCATGTAAAATAAATGATGATATGAATTTACGAAATTAGCTATTATTTTTGGATCTCAAATTTCATATCTATTGTCTATCTATGAAAGTATATAATATTAGTAGGATTCATATCAATAAAAATCATTGTGCTGTAAACAGAACACAGTATATGTAAGAGAATATAATAGTAACAACTTAAAAAATTCTTTCGTGATCTTGCATCCGACTCTCAACTTTATCTCTATTTTTGAATATACCGCTATCAGCACGTTTAGTAATACTATGAACTTCACATATTTCATAAAAATATGCTTTATCATTTGAATCTATCAAAACATCGATAAAGAAAAAACCACATTTTTCACCTAGAAAATCGATTATTTTTTTCACCCACACCCCATAAAAAGGCCTAAGGCCATTTTTCATACTCATATTTGGAAATGTAAGAAATGAAGAAAAAAAAGTCGTATTTAAATTGTCGGTTGTTGAATTGGATTTATTTGATTTCGTTTTCTCCAAATAAATATTTTTTCTTTTACTGTTCGACGAAAACGACTTGATGAAATTAAAAATATATAACAACTTCCCTAAAATAAAATGAAAATATTCATTTAAATAAATAAATAACTAAACATACTGAATAATAAACATATGTTAATAAAGTAAGAATTGTAAAAATCGAATTTTCAATTATTAATCGATTTGTATCTTTAATCATACCATTTGTTATTAAAATGTAAACAACATTAATACTATATGGAGTTATAAACATAGCAATAAGTATAACTTGAAATAAAGTCATTTTAATTAATTGACGATCAATTTGTTGTTGAACAAGAACTCGTGTTAAATGAATATTTCGAATAGTTAAATAACCAAATAAAATCATTATTAGACTTGGACCAAAACAAGTAAATGTTAGAGAATAAATAGGACTATAAATAGCATAGATAATGTTACTATTTATACATTGATTTGTAATTGATGAAATATTAAAAATTATAAAACAAGGAATTCCATGAAGACAACTTACAAGAATAAGAATAAATACTATTCGATGTGTCCATTTAATATTACTCATACGACGAAGATTAGCATGTCTTGATGTAACGAAATATTGATCGACTGATGATAACCATGAACAGGTGAAACTTATTAAACTAAGAATAAGAAGTAAATATTGTCGAGTTTTACACCAAATAATTGATGTACGAGTTAAATCAAGTCCATAACCTACACTAACAATACGAGATGTTAGATTAATTAATAAATAAAGAATATTAGTTATTGAACAAATAAGAAAATAAAATGTACAAGGAGTTTTACGATAAGTATCAATACTTGAAAATATTAAAATATTCAAACTATTTCCAATTACACCCGTTAGAAGAAGAAAAAAACCAAAATAAATTGTTATTTGTTCACTAATGTATACTAATGACATTAACAAAGTCTACAATATAGAAATAATTCAAGTTGTATACTCACTTCTCAAAAATATTTTCATCCAATGTCAATTCAGTATTCAAACATAGAATTACTCTTATAAATCTAATTTTAATTACGGAATATTTTTGTTTAAAAGAATGAAAAAATTCTTCTAAGATGAAATCTACTAAAAAAAATCAACATAGCAGAAAATTACTGAGCAAACATTTTTTTGTTGTCAGATTTTAAAAATATCTATATAATTATATTAATGAACAACTGTTTATGCAAACCAATGGCAATATGATAAAAAATTGCTACACTTGTCTTCCTCAAATCAATCATTCAATGAAATCTATTCTTTTTAATTTTAATAGTTTTCATTTAAATGTTTAGATAATAACATTTTTTTTCATTAGAAAAAATATCTTTAAAGAAATATTTTATTTAAATTTTCAGTAGCCTTTCAAATAGTCCCTTGATATTTATTAAATATATAGAACAAAGAACGCTATTTGAATTTGAATGAATAGTTTTAGATGAAAGAGAAAAGAAGAATATGAATTATTTATATCTAAATCTGAAATTTTCAAAGAGAATAAATAATATAAAATTAAAATGATCTTTTCATCCGTTATATAATCAATGGTTGGATGATCGAACACAAAAATTACATGCTTCTGGTTCCTTTAGCAACTATATCTAGGTAGTTGTTACATGTAATTATTAGTGAGTGACAATCTGACTATGAAAATTTTTCTTTTTTAGTAGAATCATAAATATTCATTTGAATCTACATAAGTTGTGCCATTAATAAAGTTTTATTATTCTTTTTTATTTTGAATTTTAACGAAAAAAATTAGAAAAAATGAAAAAAACTTTACGTAATAACAAAACGATGAACATTGTGACTATTTGTAATGCAATGGATTACATTAACACATTGAATAATACCTGGTCCATTATTTTATAATAATATTAAAGAGGAAAATGTCGTCATTTTATAGATAGTTCTTAAAGAAAATAGGAAAAATTCTTTTCATACAAACAAAAAATAGAGATGAAAATAATTAATAAATTAATCGATCAACTGCTATTATTTCGATTAATAATTCTCCATTAAAATCGTCTCAACCAGTTGAATTAGCGAAAACATAATAAGTCAATGCTAAGTCTATAAACATGAATGTCATCCTTAAAACTTTTATTTTGCTAAAAAAATAGTCGAAATGTTAAATCTCAAATGTTTGCTATTATAAATCAAATTTGTTTTTTTTTGTTTCTATTTGACGAAAACAGATTTACAGATAAAGTGTAGACCCAGTTTAAAACGATCCTAGAGTGAACAAGGAACATACTTTTTACAAAGTCAAAACCAGTAAAAGATAGAGTGCAAAAAACATTACAAAACTATCTAGAAATAGTTGTGGTAAACTTTTTTTTTAATTAGATCAGAAGACCATAAAGCTTTAATTACATACTAACTGTAGACATAGTTTTTCAAAATTGTTTTGCTTTTTATTCCTCTACTACTGAAAGAAAATTAGTCTGACTGCCACAGAAAGATGCAGTGTGAAAAACTGAACAAGAATATTATCAACTAGTTCTTTGTTTCGCTTACTTTTATGGAGAGTTTTACGATGTATTTCGGAATGTAGACCCGATTTTTGCTTATATATTTTTAAGCTGATTTTGACGGAAAGCACTACTATCATAGACCTTTCGACTCATGAACACATGCTGAGTCTGATTCATTTCGTTTTGAGCTATTTAGAAGCTATTTCTGGCAGATTATTAGAGTTTGAGGCTGAAGTCTTAATTAATACGCTTCGTTTTAAATTTTCAAGAGCCAGGAGCTTTGTGCCATAGTTTTATAAGTTCTCTCGATGAAATCTATAACAAGAAAAAACATTGTTTATCAGAGAACCATACAAAGGCTTTCAACACAATCTCTTCTAAAAACCTCTTTGTTGAAAACCCGAAGTTGGTGCAAGAATATCTTGAGAAGTGCAAATGGGGTAGTACGGAAATTTTTACTACGGATTCACTGAATGATAAGAAACAAAATATACGAATCGGAGCATTATCACATTGAAATACAACAGCCGTAAAGCTCACAAATACAAAAATATAAAATGACAACATTCGTTCCAACATATTTTATTAAAAAATATGAAAATCAAAAGAAAATGTTGTCAGTATTTCGTTCGTTAATCAGTAACGTTGAGTTTGTTTTTCTCTTAAAATAATAAAACTTCAATAATAAACTTTGTTTGCATAAGTTTTAAAATTTTTGTTTTTTTCATGATTTCTCTCTAAGTCGCATCAGATGAATAATTTGATGTATATATAAGGGACGACTTCCTTTTTCATAATGATTTTTAAAGGTGATGTACTCAAACGTGTTTATCTGGAATAACAAATGACATTCAAATGAATATATGACATATTCAATGAGCAGTCATCCTATTCCGCAATGTTGAACATTTCAGGAACCAGTTCCGCTCCGGACTCGATTCCGTTCAATTCCGGGAACTCGATCGACACATAATATCCGATACCCACTCGAAAACTGATCGAGTTCCGTCCAATTCCGGAATTGGTAGGAATTCCGGAATCGGTAGGAATTCCGTATAATTCCGGAACTGGTAGGAATTCCGTATAATTCCGGAATCGGTAGGAATTCCATATAATTCCGTAATTAGAAGTAGTTCACGCAATTCCGGAATTGGTGGGA